CACCTTCATGTTTAAGGTCCTTATAAAAACTGCACAGTGCACTTACATGTACATGTGTGGGGAATGTTTACACACTCAACTAGTGACAATTTTCTTTCGGTAATCAAACCACAGCATGCTAAACCAATTACAGTACCTGCTCTGGCCAACAAAAGATAGGAGCAGTGCATCATCAAAGTTCTTGGCTGTCTTTTGTAATCTTAAGGGCCAGATACCTAAAGTATTGAAAGAACAAAATAATAATGTGTTAAAGACACAAGGAATAGAAGCAGTAGGGCATCCTAAGTGAGATGTCACTTAATCAACCTGCGTACCCCACCAACACAGCACCATGGTTTCTTAGGAAACATATCCCCTTTACACCTGATTATTAAGTTTCTTATTAAATAAATAAATTACAAACCCATAATGCCAACCAGGTCTGATATGGTGGCATGTTCATGAATACCAATCCCATTCCTTATTATTCTTAATGAACCTTCCTTCAGTGTTCCAGAACATGTCACCAGCTGTGTGAAATAAAACAGAATGAGATGAAAAGAAAACTTCATCCCTGGAACAAGTTTTACATTGGACAATTGAAAATGGTGTATACTGTCTGTTGAGGTTCAACTTTTTCTTTCAAACAAAATTTCACACCACTTTAACTTTTATGAGATAGTTAAAATAAATAATAGTTACGTATGATGCACGATCCTTGCAGTAGAGAGCGCTATTTATGCTAAAGCGAAAATCAGACCTGAAAAAAATCAGGCCTGTACAGGAATTGAACCACTGACCTCTGCGATACAAGTGCAGCGCTCTACCAATTGAGCTAACAAGCCAACCAGGAGCAGACCGTTAAGTTGATTCGTAATAAACCCGTGATGATAAATCAGATAAGATGAATATATGAGGTTCCTATATTTTGAACTGCGGTTATAGATACGTATGATGCACGATAATAATAGTATCTAATTTTTGGTAATCTTTCAAGGATGTGTCAAAATGCCATCTTACTAACTTAAGAATGGCAGCTTTTAAGCTATCTCGTTTGTTTCTGATGTGGATGGCTGTCATAATGATGAATGAATGCAACTTAAAATGAAAATTAACAACAAGATGGGCTAATAACCTCGAGGTTGCATGTCTTTGGAAAGTACGTAATGTGATAAAGTATGCTTCTCATTTGTTTGGCTGGCGTCCATTCTCACGAAGAAGGTTAAAATTTATACTTGATCAAATCTACCTGTCCCTGCCCTTGTCTTTCCAAGTCAACTACCACCATATCCACAATAGGACCAAGGTTTGTGAATGTCTCCATCACATGAACATGCGAGCCATTCTCATTTGTTTCTGTGTTGAGCTAAATAAAAAGAATAAATGTATATTGAACACAGTTGTATTCAGTGGGCCTGAATACAACTGTGTTCAATTGAGGCCCACTGTATTCTAATTCACTCTAGGTCTCAGCAGTTTCATGATAGTGCACTCTACATCATAGGCATCTGTGGTACAGAAATCTGCAAATCTGAGGTCTGAATACTCCTCAGAGGGCTTTTCTTCTGATCTGTTACACTCTGGTATAGCAACCTTATTAATACCCTGAATAAATAGCTGGCTGATAAACTGACTTACTAACTTGCTGGCTGCCTAACTGGCTGACTGACTGGCTGGCTGGCTGGCTGGCTGACTGGCTGGCTGGCTGGCTGGCTGACTGGCTGGCTGGCTGGCTGGCTGACTGGCTGGCTGGCTGGCTGGCTGACTGGCTGGCTGGCTGGCTGGCTGAC